TACATTTTCTTTTCTTATGGATTCATATTTAAAGGAGCAGTTTGCAGTATTATTCGATGCTCTGTTTTAGAATTAATGTACATTAAAGATTAAACTATTGACATCACAATCCAGTTCAGCCCTGGCACAGTTAAGGCACACATTATATAAAAGGAACATTATTTCTGTGTTCCTCCTCTCTCTCTGCTGCCTGCCAGGTGCGAAGGGCAAAGCTCGTAACAATAAAGGGTTACTCCACCCACCATGACCACTTCTGATTTGAATTTCGTTTTGAAACACTGCACATACAGAGCAATCTGCATGTTTGTGCTGGGGGCTAGTTGCACCCCCGCACATTTGAGTTAGACAGACCGGAAATTCTTTTCCAGCCTGCCTAATGTGAGTTCTGTGCAAAAATTACATCTGTGTGTGGATATATGTCCTGAAAAAAGTTCACCAGATGAACTGAAACGTTCACTGTCAATGTTTGGATTTAACTTAATAATAAACAAGATTGTTTTACTTAGACCTAAAGATGCTGGCACATTTTGTTTCTATTATTTAATGTGTTGCAGAGCACAGTAAGAGTGGAGTACAGAACTGCTATCAATGTGTGTGTATATATATATATATATATATATATGGGAATCCTTGCACTCAGACTGAATAATAATGTTCCTTTTAGTTGCCGGGTGCCAAACCTTAAAACGGCACTGTCATGGCCACATCCGTTTTGTTTTGTTTTTAACCCCCCCTCCCAACTTAACTACATCTAATTTCCCCTTTAGTCACCCCCATATGGCCCTACGCCCCACCATATTACCTTTTTAAAATCTTTATTTTGTGCCTGGACCGAGGTCCTGGGCGCCGCCATCTTTGTGTGGGTAGGTAAGGGCTCTGTGGGACACGTCATCTGCCCACACTAGATAGCGCTGTGAAATTCCCGCGCATGCCCAGTTAAACACTTGGGCATTCGCTATTGTCTTAAAATCAAACAGGAATTTCGTCTATTCATTCGTCAGAAAGTCGAATGAATTAATAGAAATGTGACAGCTCACTGTTAAAGTTTAAAAAGAAAAAACTCCAGCCCCCACCCACGAGTGGCGGGTGGGGCCCTAAATGACAATGGGGGGAGACCTATTGTCCTCCCCCAGGCCCCTACCCAAGAGCGACAGGTGGGGGCCCTAAATTACAATAAGGGTGGGACCTGTTGTCCTCCCTCCTGGATCCCACCCATGAGCGGTGGGTGGGGGCCCTAAATGACAATGGGGAGACCTGTTGTCCTCCCCCCAGCCCCTACCCATGAGCAGCGGGTGGGGGCCCTAAATTACAATAAGTGGTGGAAGACCTATTGTCCTCCCACCCCCGGCCCCCACCAATGAGTGGCAAGTGGGGGCCATGAATTACAATGGGGGGAGACCTAAATTGCGCTTCGAATTACCGAACAACCGCACGAACCAGAGACCACCCTGGAACTTGTTAAAACCTATTAACAACTTGGAACGTTTCTCACTGCAGTGTTCTAATTATTCGTCTGGGTGGCCGCAATTCCCATGGACAACCACGAGGTGGCGGCCATCTTGTTCGCATGAACGCAGGCAGCTGTGTTTGGGCATGAATCTCATGGAACTAAAATCGGATACAGAAACTCCCGAACATCGCTGGACTTCCATCATCACCTACGTTCGATTGTTCGATTGTTCTGTCTAAATGACAGGACGTTCGGGAATACTGACAGGAAGATCGCAAGATCACGGAGGAAAGCTAAGAATTGTGGAAATGGAGGAAATGGAGCGGTGGGCCGCGATGGCCGTGGGGCCGAGGCCGGCAGGAGAGATCACAGGATCTCCCCGGCCGGCCCCTGCAGGGCCAGCGCTATCCGAGCGCCGGCCCTGCTGTGTGCCTCCATGGGCCAGTGGGGAGATCAAAGATCTCCCTCACCGGCCCAGAGGCATGGAGATGCGGCCGCCAGCAGGAGAGGGAGTGAGGTAGGGAGGCAGGAGAGGACCAGCGGAGCTCTAACCAGCAGCTCCGCCGGGTCCTCTCGCGGGATTCTGAGCGTTGCCGCGGTTACCACGGCAACGTTCAGATCTCGCGAGAGTGAACTCTAACCTGCAGGTTAGAGTTCACTCTCACCACTGGACCACCAGGGAAGGCAGCATGGCCCCCTCCTCCATGGATACCCGGCTCCCCACCCCCTCCCAAGGTAAGAAGGGAGAAGGGGATATAACTTTTTTTATTATATATAAAAAGAATATATTTAAATTTAAATAAACACTCACACACAGCACCCAAACACACACAGCGCACCCAGATACACACAGCACCCAGACACACAGAGCACCCAAACACACACAGCACACCCAGACACACACAGCGCCCAAACACACACAGCGCCCAGACACACACAGCACTCAGACACACACAGCACCCTCAGACACACACAGCACCCAGACACACACAGCGCACCCAGACACACACAGCACCCAAACAGCTCCCAGGCACACACAGCACCCAGACACACACAGCACTCAGACACACACAGCACCCAGACACACACAGCACCCAGACACACACAGCACTCAGAAACACACATCACCCTCAGACACACACAGCACCCAGACACACACACAGCACCCAGACACACACAGCACTCAGACACACACAGCACCCAGACACACACAGCACCATCAGACACACGCAGCACCCAGATACACACGCAGCACCCTCAGACACACACACAGCACCCTCAGACACACGCTGCTCACTCAGATAGACACTGCTTCCTCAGAGAGACAGCACCCTCACTCACACAGCACCCACACACAGCACACTCCCACACATATACAGCACACACATATATATAATAAATAAAATAACCCTCAGTGAGTTAACAGACAAAAATTTTAGAAACCTAGAATGTGACGGCAGATAAAAACACCTTCAAACACAGCACCCCTCTTACACACACACACACACTGCACCCCTCACACATACAATACGTCCAAATATAAATATAAAACACAGTCAGACACAAACACACACAGTCAGACACAAACACACACAGTCAGACACACACACAGTCAGACACAAACACACACAGTCAGACACAAACACACACACACAGTCAGACACAAACACAGACACACACACAGACACAAACACAGTCAGACACACACATACACACAAACACAGTCAGACACACACACACAGTCAGACACACACACACAGTCAGACACACACAAACACACACACACACACAGTCAGACACAAACACACACACACAGTCAGACACAAACACACACACACAGTCAGACACACACACACACACAGTCAGACACACACACAGTCAGACACAAACACACACACACAGTCAGACACAAACACACACACAGTCACACACAAACAAACACACACACACAGTCAGACACAAACACAGTCAGACACAAACACACACACACACAGTCAGACACAAACACACACACACACACAATCCACTCACTTTTTTTTTAATTTAACCCCCCCCCCTGCAACCTCCTTACCTTTGGGAGTGCTGGGGGAGGGGAGGGGTCTCTCTCTCCCTGGTGGTCCAGTGGCTGCCGGTCGGGCTGGGCGGCACTGGCTGCTGGGCTGCTCTGAGCGGTCTGCTCAGCTCCCTCGCGCGCCGCAGAGTGAGGCTGGGAGCCGGAAGATGACGTCATATTCCGGCTCCCAGCCTCACTCTGCGGCGCGCGAGGGAGCTGAGCAGATCGCTCAGAGGAAGATCTCCCTCGCCAGCGCCGCCCAGCCCGGCATGTCAGTTAGCCGCAAGGCTAACAAGGCATTTGCCCTGGGCATTTGGGGGCGACGTTTTTTGCCGCCCCCTGAAAAATGCCGCCCAAGGCAAATGCCTTGTTTGCCTCGCGGCTAAAACGCCCCTGCTCACACGGCACCACTACACACATTACGCTCCAGATACATGCTAGATCCCTTACCTATATGCACTCTTAATCCACTACACACAAACACACACACATACAATCTCCTATACACACTCTGAGTCCTTTACACACTAGATCTCCTACACACACACTGCCCCTAGCCACACATATTACATCACAAACACAAATTAAATTGACCTATTTACACAAAACCACACCACACTCTACACACACGCAATCCCACAAGCAGGCTCCAAACACATGCACCATACGCTTTCCTGGCCCTTTTGTCCACTGGTATCCCACTTGTGGAGACACCAGAGACAATTTAAAAGCAAACGCAGCGCAAGCATGTTATTACATTTGCTTGCGCTGCGCAGAACAAATACAGGGCCTTTTTCTAATGCTAGAGCTCTTTAGCAGGGCTCTGCGCATTGAACCAACATGCTCACTTTGAGAGGGGGCGTGCTTGTCTCTAGCCCCGCCCCCTACTTCGGGGGCCGCTCTGATTGAAAAATGCCCGGGCCTAATTTTTTTCCCAGTCCGGCCCTGCTTTGCTCCTCCGCTGGTCATAGCTGGTCAGTCGTAGGAAATATACATGAGACAAATAGTCCCTACTTTGTCTTATGTTTTAAAGAAAACTAGAGCAGACAGGAAGAAGCGAAGAACAGTTCCTGAGAGAGGGAGAGAAGAGGAAGCGATTAGGGAAAGTTCGGTATGACAGTGCCGCTTTAAGGCTAAATATAGAATCCACAGATTGACGTTTCAGTCCCTCCTGGGACTTTCATCAGGATCAAAAATATATATATATACGTATTTTGATCCTGATGAAAAACCCAGGAGGGACTGAAAACAAGAGGCTGCACTCACCTGAACATGCATACATTGTAGGCTGCTGCTGGGGCCAATTCATACAAAATTCACAATCCAGCGCACTCACTCATTCACTTAACAGCAATTTCAAGTCTCACAGAATGTAATGGTTTGATTCAAAAACACCTCACCTAGGCAAACAATAATGGGGGTTTAGTTACAGTATATGGAAGAAAATAAATATTCATGCACATCTGAGGTTTCTTCTAAAAGGTAGTCTTTTTATTTAAAACAAGGAAGTGGAGACAACGGTTCGGCTCCTCTCTGAGCCTTTATCATGTCTTGATAAAGGCTCAGAGAGGAGCCAAAACATTGTCTCCACTTCCTTGCTACAAATAAAAAGACTGCCTTTTAGAAGTAACCTCAGGTGTGCATGAATATTTATTTTTTACCATTTGATGTTTTTAGAGATTGGCCCTCCCTTTCTGGAGCACCCAGCAGGAAGTATTCCCCCTTGTTTTAGTGTGTATTACACTTTTTTAAAAAAAAATGAGAAACAAATGTATTACATTATATGAGCATACATTGCATAGTCTTAGCAAAATTCTGTGCGCCTTCAAATTGCTGTTTGGTGAATGAGTGAGTGTGCTGAATCTTGTATGTTGTGTGTGTGTATATATATATATATATATATATATTAAGAGCCCTCCCTCTCCACTTCCTCCCATCCCTGGCTCAGAGCGGGCTAGTGTGCTCTGAGCTGGAGAAAATGGTCCAATCAAATGAGCCTCATAGAGGACCTTGGATGACATGGAGTGACATCACACGTGATGTGGAAACGAGCGAGGAAGACTTCACCCAGCGCTGAGTTCAAGGTAAGTTTAAAGATTATTTATTTAATTTTTTTCAAATTAAATAAGTGGCATTGACCTGGTCGATATTATGAGGAAAAGTGTCTCATTAACGTTTAATGACAGGGAACTAAAATGGAGACCCCCATGATACTATAGATATCTACTTTTGATTTTGCTATTAGGTCCTCACAAAGACTGGCTGAATGCGCGCACAGCTCCTGCCGCGCGTGCGCATTCAGCCGAAGAGGAGGATCAGAGGCGGAGAGGAGGAGGAGAGCTCCCCGCCCGGCGCTGGAAAAAAGATAAGTTTAACCCCTTCCTCTCCATCCAGCCTGGCGGGAGGGGGACCCTGAGGGTGGGGGCACCCTCAGGGCACTATAGTGCCACAAAAACAAGTATGTTTTCCTGGCACTATAGTGGTCCTTTAAATAGAGTGTTGTTACATAATATTACAATTTCGGGGAATTGATTGTTCTGTAATAAAGAATGAACTATACAACAGAAAAAGTAGAGTTTGCACTCTGACCAAAAACTTTGTCGCACTTCAAAGATTGAAAGATTCTACTTTCTGTTTATGTAATGAACCAACGACTGACCGTTACAAGACCTGACAAGGGTCATTTCTTAAAATCAGCAGAGAGCAGGACATTGCATCAATTCAAGGAATAAATCTGTGAGGCTCTTGCGTGTCCCTTAACGGATGAAAAACATTAAATTTTAATGTATTTTACAGAAACGAATAATCAGATATTCAACTCTAGTCTGTCAAAACACCAGCGAGATCTGTTTACTGCTTAATAACAGGGTGGTTTACTAAATAAAACAAATTGCTCTTCCAGCCCGAATGCGTCAGCCCCTGGGGACAAAATAAAACAGGAATAAAATGTATTATTTAATCTTGTAGGATTGGGGAAAAAAAAAGTAAATGTGTATTCAAAATACTGAGCATTGACCTATCTGCCGTAAGTAATGTGATTTAATAAATATCTGCAGCAAAAACCACATTATAAAAACACAAACATAAGTTTCTAATTTTCTTGAAAGTGTTACACAGCCATGTTATTTCATCCTTTGTGAAAAATATATAAATAAATATATATCTATTTATTTGTAGTTGGGGACAATAAGCCAAGTTATAGGAGTGGTGGTATAAGTTGGTTGTGGTGTGCCGAAACCGACATTCAGGTAGGCCAGTAAAAGAGGGCCCACTAAGTGAATACTTAATAAAAGAAGCAGTGGGTGGGCTGAACCAGGAAGTCTCGGACCAGTGGAAGGGGTGGTCTGTGGATTTATAGGCCGGGTAACCCCTCTCACAACTACAGGCTCCGCCTTGCCATATATCTATGTATGTGTATAATATATAACACATAAACACGCTAAAATATTGGAAACATAAACTGTTGTAAACAATACCAACGGAAGGAATTGTCAGCCCAAAAGAAAACACAGTATGTTATATGCTGCATCTACACAGACATAAGAGTTTTTTTGTTTTTTAATTTTTATTTGATTGTTATTGCAACGTTTTGACACATTCGGTGTCTGTAGAAGGATGGAAGAAGACATGGTCTGTTGAAACACTGAAAACCAATGGCCTAAATAACTAAATTCACGGATTTAGGATTAAGTGCAAAATGTTTCTAAGAAATGTCTGTCTGTGAATTTATCTCATGCATCAGGCAAAAAAAAAAAATAGAATCTGATAAACCATTAAATAAATTGTTCTCATTTTGAATGGGAAATATGCGTTTGTTTAGTGAATAAACCATTTCTGACAATATTAGTAATAACATTTTATGAGAATTGTCCCCATAAAAGGCCACATATCATGTTAAATGCTAACAGAATTGTTTCCATCCAGAACTCTAAAATAGTTTTCTTACCATTGGTAGTATAAAATAACATGGGGGGGAGGGGAAAGGGGGTACGCCATCACTATCACCACTGCAGGGCAACAGATATGTATGATCAACAACATAGAGATGTCTTGTAATTTCCTTTCATTGCTGAGTAGGAGACAGGAGATACCTGTCCACTATTACAATGTAATTGGTCCACAGAGATAACTAAATATGTAACACCTAAACCTGTTTACTTTCGCCACAGATTAGAAAATCACAAAGTTATTTACTAAAATTAGAATTTTAAATTTAAGGCCAAAGTAACTGTAACGGATCACCTGGCACCCTGACTGGGTACCTCCGTTGAAGGATGCTCCTAGCACTTCCTGAGGACTCCAAGCACTGCAGCAGACACCACAGCCACCGAATGCATACGAATGCTCTCAAGCATATGAATGCTGTAAGCAGCTGAACAGGAAAAGCATACAATCAGCTTACACTCCTGGCAATCAGCATACAATCCAATTCCCCCAATAACGAGGCGACACTTCGTTTTGAGGTCAAGCAGAACTGACTGTACTGGCACATACAGCCTCTTTTATTCACAAGCCACAAACATAGTACTGCCCACGGGGTTTTGAAATACAAGCAATCAATCCGTACAATACACACAGACACTCCGACACAAAATCCTCCTCTCTGCCTGTGATATGATTACTGAACACAATGGGTAATATAATTATCACAGGCAGAGAAATACAGTATTATAAAACATATCACAGGGACCCCAAAACATGCAAAAACCCCATAAAAAGTATATCCTCGGAACCGGGGATCTGGGTGAACCACGTATCCAAAATTCACCCAGATCCGTTCAGTAGTTTGGAAGATGCAGTTTAATGCAGATTCCGCAGAACATATTCAGGCTATATGAAAAATAATTACTGTATAATGTGTCCCCTGTTGTATAGTTTAAAACTACTGCGCGTTGTCTTCGTGCACCAAATACTGGCGAGATGGCACCGTGTAGAAAAGTCCAAACAGTGTCTGTGAGTTAAAATGGCCGCCATCCATTGTTCTCACCATGTGCTTCTGATACAGGAAATGGTGGCCACCCAGTAACTCCACAGTATGTCCCAGATGGTTCTTAAAGGGCCAGCAGCAGCACAACACAAATCCATTATGCCCAAATCATGTCTTTAAAGGGCAATACATCCCAGGGGCCATAGTCACATGGCAGGAGGCTGGCAATCAGTCCTCTCCAATGCCCAGTGGTGAGGTCGGTTTCGCCACAGTAGCCAAACTGAAAGCGTAGCTTTGAGAATGAGCGAAATCTTAGAGAAACTCAGTAGCTTGTCCTTCGGTTTATCCCCACTCAGGGTCCAAATATTGTTTTTGCTTATTTGTGCTGTTACAAAGAGAACCTACATCATTTGCATATTAGATTAATTCCACCCATAAGGGCAGTCCAGAAATGAAACGCCGGCAAGTTCTTTCTACACAAGAGATACAGCAACCCCGGACCATCATTTAGGCCTCATCAGTGAGGTGTAGCTGATACCCCTATAGGCACGGTAAGCACGGGGTCCACATCTGGATTACCCTTTTAGCTTAGGGAGAGCCCAAGCAAATGAATTGCAACAAAAACAGAGAATATGAGAACAGGCAAAAAAGGTTAGATAAACTCGGCTAGTCCCCACGCAGGGCTCAAACAATCCGATAGGGGTGTCAGCTACACCTCGCTGACGAGGCCCAAAGATGGACGAAATGTAAGAAACAATAACATTTGTTGACATTTGTCCTTTAATTCCCATTTCTTGCCCCACGTCTTTTCTGTTGTTCCTTATCTCATCTACTGCTTTTTATACTATCACAGTAACACATTAAACATTGTGTTTGTAATGTCCCTTAGCCTTTAATTTTATGAATATCTTTTTTTTTTCTTCTTCTTCTAAAAAGAAGAAAGCAACAATGCCAAGTTTCATACATTGGCCAAAGATTAAAGATGTCCAAGTGTCTACAAGAGGTCACTGAGCTTATTTGATGCAAAGCTTTTCACAGACAAACCAGAGGACCTGGCCATATATCTTAATTGGCTAAAGTCCAAACCTCAAGTAGAAAATCTCAATTTTGTGCAAATACATCAAAATACAACATATAATTTAAGGACTTTAAATCACTGTGACATTAAAGGCCAGCAAGAGCCATTTCACATAAAGACAACGTGATTTAGAATGTATTCTATTAAATTTCTGACTAACAATCAGGTGTTGGCGGAAAGTAATGCCTATTATGTCGATTTACCCGTGGAATGAGTGGCATTTTGAAAATAGAATTTTTTCAAACTTTAAATAAAAATCGCACTCCCTTTTGTAAGTCATCCATCACAACTGTATTTTTCACACATTTACAAAAAAAATCCATCATTTTTGACATTCTGAAATATACTGTGGACCGTGTTGAAAATAGATTTTATTGCAACTTTCAACCAGTTTTAAAGGTAAATAATGATTTACAAAAAACTTATACTATGTTATTATGCAAAGACTATTAATTTATTTCTGTTGATGCTATTATCAGCATATTTAAAGTAAAAAAAAATAAAAAATGATTTAAATATACTGTTCATTTTCCCCAGTTAATATTATAATGTATACTATGACACGTTTCTTTTCTTTTGGAAACGTTGTATCATAA